TGGCCAGTGGGCAGGTAGGTGCCCCAGAGCCCTTTGCCAGCACATAAAGTTATTCAAAACCCCCCAAACATTGAGAATCTGTGGCTTCAGAGTCCTGGGGCCAGGGTCACGCTCACGACTGCAGATCAGACTGGCCCGCCTCTCTGCCACCGTGTGATGGACTGAGACACCCTGGGGGAGCCCACCCTCATGTCCACTGGGAGCCTTTCCTCCACACGCTGTCCTTGGTGGCAGAGCCATGAGCTGTCCTGAGCATACAGAGCCTGCCACCCAGCCACGTGGGACAAATCCCGAACACCAGCGCCCCTTTTAAGGCCAGGATTCTGATTCCTTGCTCTTCAAGACACCACTGACTGGCCACCTGCCCCCCATGAAGACAGCGCCTGCTGCCAAGGGCAGGTGGGAAGCAGGGGAAGGGTCACCATGAGACGCTCTGCCCCCAGCTCAGCGCCCCCTCCTTCGGGCCTTTCTGCAGCTCTGCATCCCTGTGGCTTTGGGAAGTGGAGAAGCGGGCTCCCAGCCCGAGGAAGGCCCTTTGCTGCCTTTGCAGGACGTGTCCATCGTTGGTTTTCTTCATACAAACGGTAACGAACCCAAGGGGGGACACACAGCATCGGTCATTTTGGGTTGGCCCTTATCAGCCATCCTTTTAATCAAATTAGCAACCCATTGTTTAACTTGTCTTGAACATATTGGAGCCAAATCCACTGTGGTCCCAGCTCATGACCCCTGCTCCCAAGCTTCACTCCACTGGCTGAGCAAGGTCCTGTGAGGAGGGGCCCGGGAGGCGGTACTGCCCACAGCGTCCAGCGGGATTGGGGAACGCTCCCGGTTTGTTATGAATGCATCCCCGTACCTGAGGGCACGTTAAGAGCGTTAAAAGGAGCGCCCAGTAATAACTGTGTGGAGCTTTTGCTGTGAGTTCACTGAGTGCCAGCCCCCGGGCTGGGCACAACACCTGCCTGTGTCTTTTGAACTTGGAAGGATGCACCATCCCTGACCGATCGTGGAAACGGGTGTTCGGGCCACTTCCTTCCTCCAGAAACTTCCCTGTGAGATGGAGCAGGGGAGACAAACTTCAGTGTCATGTAACACAGATTCTGCCAATATTGTTGAATTAAAAATATCTAAGTTATCAAGAGTTGAGCCAGCCAATGACAGTGACCGTGGAGGCAACTCAGTGTCCACGTTGCCACGTACAGCACCCCCAAGGTGTCTGAGAGGAGTCATCGGGCCTCGATGGTTTCCTGAGCAGCGTGACGGCAGAACTGCAGCCACACGCCACCGAGAAGTGGAAGAAAGCGCGCAGCTTGCTCTGCCCAGGTGCTTGTCAAACGGCGAGCAGCAGTGGTCCCAGCAGAACTAGGGGCATATTTCACGCAAAAGCACAGTGAGAAAGAGCACAGGGCGGGCCGCGATGCATCTGGGGCCCTGCGAGCCCCTTTCTCCGTCCTCATCCTCTGGGGACGGGAAGACGGGCTGGAGGGAGGCGTCTGGTCACTGGTCCCCAAGAACCAGGGCTGCAGGTCACATCGCACAGGCAGGACGCAACACCCAAAGAGATAATGAGCTGGCAAGGAACGGGTGCCATTAACTTGGTGCCTGAAATAAACAAATGGTAGGAGAAATCACAGGAGTGTGGTCTGAACTTTGAGAAATGCTGCCGCGGAAGCAAAAATCCATTGAGCTAGAGGAACCACCTCCTGCTTCAGGCGGCAGATGCTGGACAGACAGTGCCCTGAATCACAAAGACAGGCATCATGGCCCCTTTACGCCTCCCCATGCCCGGGAGGCCAGCGAAGGACAGCCCAGAGGGCCACGGTGGGTGCAGCAGGGACTGGGGCCACAGGGGCACCCCCACCACCAACACCGCCGGGGCCCTTGGAGGGGCATTCTGTGGCACGGCACCCCACACCCCCCACACCCCCCACACCCAGCTCCTTCAAGTGTCAAAACTCCCTGGACCAGCCCAAAGCACATTAGGCCCGGCGCCCACCTTCTTCAGAGGTCGCACTGACGGGGGAGGCTCGTGGGACGTGCCCATCTGTCCATTCCCCTCTGCTCAGCCCTGGCCCATTTCCCCATCAAAAGCCCTCTGAGATTCCGGCTGGTGCAGGAGCCCTGCACCAGCCGAAACGGGGTGAGCGGTGCTTCCACGCTGACGGTGCGCATGCAGCCCCTGACCTCCGGCCAAAGTGCAGATCCTGATTCCAGGGGGCTGGAGTGTGGCCTTGGGCTCTGCATTCCTAACAGGCGATGCCAGGGCTGCTGTCCAGGGACCCGACTTGAGGAGCAAGGCCTGGAACTTGGCAAGGGGGTCTGTGGGCGAGGGGCACGTCTGAAAACCCCGGTCATGTTGGCATCCCCTGGAAGCCCCTCCTCCCCGTGCCCCTGCATCGCTGCCCCCCAGCACCAGCACATGGGCCCCCTTCCTCCAAGGTGAGTGCCAGCATCCCAGGGACCCTCCTAGGCCCACAGCGCCGTTCATACTGGTGCATCTTCAGGAGCCCAGGCATCCAGGACTTAAACAGCCTCCAGCTCGTCCAAGAAGAGAAAATGCCACCTGAATAATGCTTATGATCAATTCTTCAGACTTTGCATTGCGCTGTCTTTCAGATTTGAAAGAAAAAAAACAGAGCCGACCCGCACAGCAATGCTCGTGACGGCGGTCTGAGACACGGGCGAGGAGGAGTCGCCTCTGGCTCGGAAGGACACACGCAAGCCAGCGGGGCCGCAGGGCGCGGGTCAGCAGGACGCGCTTCCTCTCCGCCGGCTTCTCAGACCGCGAACCGTGGCTCGTGTGAACTTCTCAGGAGGCGCAGATAAAACAAGAAAGAGAAAGGATGTGGTCGCTGCTTTGGAGGGAAACAAACCGAATGAAAAGTAAGCATTCCGGCCGTTTCCTCGAGACCGGAGAAAACGACCTGCTGAGTGGGCGCTGGGTGAGACCCCGCAGCCCTGCGTGGCCAGACGCGGGGGGTCCCTGGAGCCAGACGGCGTTCCCTTCTCTCTGGCATCTCTACGCCCCTCCGGGAGCCACTGAGAGGCACGTTTCCTCCTGTCCTGGGCTTGCCACCGAGCACGGGAAGCAGAGGAAGGGCGAGCTCCTCTCTTCAGAGAAACTGAAGTCGCCGAGGGACACGGGTCCTGGCGTGTTCTCGCGCACGTTTCCAGCTCCTCGGTGTCAATTACCTCGGACGGACATTGCAGAGACCAACAAACTTTATTCTTCCATCCACCCAGCAGTTGTTCACTGAGCGCCTACTACATACAGGCTGAACCCTGAGCCAGGCTGTGGGACCCATCAGTAAAGGAGGCAGAAAAAGGCCTCTCCTCTCTCTGCGCTGACCTACCTGGAAACAGGGGCACGACGCAGTGACGGATCTCAGAGAGGGTTACGTGCCCTGAAGGAACATGAAGGAGAAGGGACGGCGGAGGGGAGGTGCCACGCGATGTAAGCCACACTTTGCCGAGGGGCACCGTCCACGGGCATCCAGGAGCTCCCGGGGTGGAGAGAGGCCGAGAGGCGGTCGGGTGGTCCTGAGCAGGATCCTGAACCAGAGAGGGGCTGGGTGGGTGGGGAGAGCGGGGCAATGGGAAGGGCTCGGGCTGCCTCAGCCAGCCCCCTCCCAAAGGCCCACCTCCTGGTAGCATCACCCTAGACAGTGAGGACTTCAACACGAGGATTTGGGGGCATGCGCGCATCAGTCCACAGGAGGAAGAAACTTGGCATTTGGAGGAGAGCAGAGCAGGGGACAGAGCGAACCAGAGAAACCAGAGAGGGGAAGGGGCAGAGCAGGGGCCCAGGCCAGGCCTGGCATGGCTGCGCCGACCTGCTTGCAGATTACGATTATTTTACAGAAGGAGGACGGTGCACAAGCTCTTCCTCATGATGTGCGCTGGGCCCCCAGCAGGCAAAGAAAGGGGCCGTCGGCTAAGCCTGGACAGGCCACAGGGGAACCGCGGAAACTGGGGGAGGGGACGACCCAGATGGCAAGCAGGGATCTGTCGTCAGAGCCTGAAGGAGCGGGCTGGGGGAGCTGCCCACGGGAGAGGGGCCGAGGGCCCAGGGTCGCAGCCACCCACAAGGACCTGTGTCCTGCTGGGAGTCCCCGCTGGTTGAGCCCCAAAATGAAGGCAGAGGCAGGGGAGCCGACTGTCGGGTCCATGCGCATCAGCCTCTGGGGCACAGAGCTGAGGGCGAGTGAAGCGTGGCCCTGGAGAAGCCGGGCACAGCACAAACAGCCTCCGGGATGGGCCTCCCAGAGGCTGAAGGGTGGAGGCTGCAGGGGCGCGCTCCCGGAGAAGCTGGCCCACCCGTCTGTCCCCAGCACTGGACCCCCGCAGGCATCGGGCTGGATGCTGGCCATGCCTGGACGGACCAGGCTGTGAAGGGCAGGACCTGCTCACAGACAAGAGGGCAAGATGAGCAGATCGAGGTACGGCCGTGGCCAAACCTCCCTCCCCCTGCGCACAGACTCAGCTGTGTTCCACACCAAGGTAGTTTGGAATAAGTAAACAGACACGAAGCTGTGTGCATGTGTAACAGGTGCCGTGTTTTTAAATCCAAAGCAATTTTTAAAAAAAAAGCAGAGTTTGTTTCTTTTAATTCTTCCTCACGCAAAGTTCACGCAAAGACCTTTTGGAGCGGAACAGTTGCATAAGTGTGGGATTAGCTGTACCTGATTGTAAATAAGCGAATGACAATGAGCGGAGAAAACCTAGTGCACCTTGATCACCTGCCCCTGGCCGCATCGCAGAAGCTCTGGTAAAGCCCTTTGCTGTTGCAGGGTCTTTGTGTCTGTGTGTGTGTTGTTTGTTTTTATTTTACTGAAGTACAGTCAGTTACCATGTGTCCGTGTCTGGTGCGCAGCACAGTGTCCCCGTCATGCACATACATACATACACTCGTTTTCATATTCGTTGTCATTGAAGGTTATTACGAGATATTGAATCTAGTTCCCTGAACACGAGACAGTGAGTGAAGGAGCAATACAAGATGAGGGTGTTGCTGTATTGTTTTTTCATTAAAGTCTCGCTCCCCTCCCATCAAGGATCCTTGGCCCGTGCCATTCCGGCCGACAGTCTTATCACCTGGGCCCCAGCCTTCTGTCCTGATGTCTGGCTTCCCCCATACAACTAAGCTCTCACGGATCTTCATCCTCGGAATCCGGGCCTGGCCTAGAGCAAGGTGCATATCAGGACTCTATGGATGAATGGATGTTTGCTGAGCGAGTGAAGGAGTGACAGTGCTGATCGGGGAGGTGAGGCTCACAGCCTCCCTGACCTCCAGCTCTGGCTGTCATTTCCACGCTCCTAGATGAGTAAGCCACGGCCCAGGGAGCGCGGGCCACTTTGCCAGGGCCCAGTATTTGGTTAATTAGTGACGAAAACAGGATTTAGACTCAGTTCTGTGAGAGCCACAGTCTATGCCTTTGGACCAGTCTCTTGTATGTTTGTCAAAAAGTTCGAGTGAATCTAGAGAAGAACCACGTGGTCTGGAAGGAGCCTAGGGAAGCGGATGTCTCGTCATCTGGTGCTGACAGACCCTCTCTCTTCCCTTGCAGGGAAGAGACCAGGAGTCACAGGCAGCAGCGTTTTTACTTCACTGGTAAACAGTGGGGCCCCAGTGTTCTTCTGCCTCTGCCACTCACCCCTCTGTGTCTTCGTCTTCTTCACTCAGTCAGCAAACATGCCGGCGACAGAATGAACTAGATGCTGGGGTTGCACAGAGGAAAAGGTGTGGCTGCCTGTCTTCAAAAGCTCACTGGGCAGCCGGGAGACCCACGTACAAGCCAGCAGTTCTAAGAAAGTGTGACAGAACTTTGCACAAACACCTGGGTCACGGAGGAGAGGGGACTCGTGTCTGGGGGAACTGGTGGGTGGGAGACTGAAGGCTTTGAAGCGGAGGGAGTCCTCGGGCTATTTAGCAAAGCATCCTGGAAGGTCCCTTCCAGTGCTAATGGCAGAGGATTGTGGTGTCATAGTGACACAAGAGGAGGCTGGCGGTGGAACCTCCCTGTGCTTCGAGGGGTGCCACACCCAGTGGCCATCGGAGGGTGATGAGGCCAGCCCAGGGGGTTCAAGTCCTTATCACTCCCCATGTGACCTGGGAAAGGAACCTCCTTTCGACACTCAAGCTTCTCCCATGGGGAATGGGATCTCAGAGGTGGGCCCCTCACTGCCAACGATGAAACCAAGAACCAGCTCCCAAAACAGGCAGGGACCAGAGGGGACGTCCGCAATGGGGGTGGCTCATGAGGACCCAGTTCCTGGCCTGGCCACCCTGAACTCGGGCTGCAGCACACTGACCGCGGGTACCAGCTGTGACTCCATCAGAGGCTGACTGACTAAGTCTGGCAGAGAATAAGGGGTAAGAGGCACGGCGGGAATCAGGCCTTTCACAAGGGAGGCTGATGGAAGGAAGAGCCCCGCCTCTGGCGGAGGGCCTGGCGCCAACAGACCTGAGGCCGGGGGGAGCAGGACCCCCGCAGACAAGCCAGAGATGGGGATCCACGTCCTCCTCGCCTCCCCCAACCCAGATACACAGGAGGCCTTCCAGGGGGAGCTGGTGTCCTTCAGCGCGACCTTGCACAGGCATCTGGGCTGGGGCTCGAAGACATGGTCCGAGACCCTTGGGGGCTGAAGATGGCTTGGGGCACCCGGCACTCCACGCCAACCTCAGGTGCAAGGTGGCCCCAAATCTCTGCTGCTGCCCAGCCGCGCTCAGGAGGTGGCAAAGACGAAGCGTTTCCAGATGTTACTAAAATGCTCCCCCTCCACAAAGATGTCAGCTGTCCCAAAGGAATCGCTTTCGGGAGGACCTGACTCACCTGATGAAATCCACCGTGAGCAGGACGAGGACCCCTGAGGTGAGAGGCCCTCTCCCCACACTGGCTTTGGAGAAGGGCGCTGCCTGGCTGTGTGAGGGCCTAAGGGGGCACCTTCAGGAGCTGAGACCAGCCCCTGCCAAGTGCCTGCAAGGACAAGGGAGCCTCTGTCCTCAAGTCACAAAGAAAGAGTTCTGCCGCCAACCTGAACGAGCCAGGAGCAGACTCCTCACCGGTCCAGACCCCACAGCCCGGCTGACACCTTGAAACCCTGAGCAGAGGACCCGGATACGTCCCTCCAGACCCCCGACTGTCAGAGACTGAGCGGTAATAAATAGGCTCTGGTTTATGCAATCATTTGTCACGTGGCACAGAAGACGAATGCAGCAGTGCAGGCCCAGCCTGGCTAGGCTGGCGCAGCTCAGGCGCCGCCCGGGACCCTTCTGTCCCTGCAACACCGGGAAGCCTCTGGTCCCACAGAGACCTGCAGACCGGCACTCAGACTCTGGAGACGTCCTAAACCCAGCCTGCCCAGCCCTCGCTTGGTCGGCCTCTGCCATTCTGCTGCTCCACAGTCACCGCAGAGACGGCCCGTGTCAAGTCTGGGCTCTTCCAGGTGGCCTCCAGGCTCGCCACGTCCTCGGAAGTGGGGAAGCAGCACTGGTATTCCTGCATCTCCCAGGCCCACCCACATGCTACCACCACGTCCTTCCTCCACCCCTACAGCTTTCAACCTGGGAGGGTGGCCAGGGTCCTGGGGACGGGCCTCCTCCCTGCTTTGGGTGAGTAAGGAACTGCCCAGTCCACGGGATCTTCATGTCCCCTTCAGCAGAGTTATAAACGTCTCACTTCCACAAAGCATAGCAGAATATCCACTAAACCGCATAGGAGGTGGGAAGGGACAGACTGGGAGTTGGAAATTTGTAGACCCTGACAGGCATATGCAGAATAGATAAACAAGATGATACTGTGTAGCACAGGGAAATGTATACAAGATCTGGTGGTGGCTCACAGCAAAAAAAAATGTGACAATGAATACATGTACGTTCATGTATGACTGAAAAATTGTGCTCTACACTGGGAACTGACAGAACATTGTAAAATGACTATAATCCAATAAAAAAAGTTTAAAAAAAAGAAAACAGGAGTTGGTGATTTTTTTTCCTGAGCACAAACAAAATAAGATGTGGGCAATTCCCATTTCTCACATCACAAGAATCTACAAGCCATGAGTGCTGGGCTCAGACGTGGAGTCTTGGCCACGGAATTATTGCCCTGAGTTGTCTGAGCAGATCACCGATGACAGGACCATCTCCAGGAGCACAGGCAAGGAAGCGGGCAGCTCTGAGCCTGCGCACATGCCTCCCCGGCCCAGGTGGAGCAGGTGAGGCACACAGCTCCCACACGTGCTGCGGTGGGGCTGCCCACCAGGCACGTGTCCTCAGTGGAATATTCCCCTACCGCCTGTGCCTCCTGAGAAACTGCCTGGCTGAGAAAACCAGCAAAAGGAACGGAAGGGAAAGGAGGAAATTAACAAAAAGCGAGAGCCTTGTCAATCTCTGGGCTTCTGCGTCGGTGAACTTCACTGGTAGGTAGGACGGATTCCACTCTGGCTGTTTCCACGACAGGTCCTGGTGTTCTGATACTTCGATATTCTGGTTATGAACGTGAAGTATGATTCCATGATCATCTATTCCTAAACAAAGCTCAGAGGTGCTCTTTTTATGGACACTGAAGTTGGGGCGTCGAGGGGAGAGGGTCTGCGTGCGGCGCCAGTGTCCCCGGGGACCCTCACCTGCTGCACATGCCCAGCCGTCAGCAGCCCCCCGGGAGCCGCGTGTGCATTTACCCTCGGAGTCCACACACTGCTCCCCTCACCCCGTGCATCACAGGAAACTGCTCGTGGGGAATTCTACCGTGAACCAAAGTGCTTCCCATACCTGTGCCCGTGCGTGTGAAACGAACACGGGAATTCTCCACCAAGGCTGTCAGTGGAACACTGGCGACCGTCCCTGAAGTGGCCATATCAGGAACTGCTACGTTCTTCACCACCACAAAAACCCAGACCCCCAAAAAAGAGCTTTTGAAGCATATTTTGCACTCGAGTTCGTCTTCCTATCCACCTGCATTCAGTCGTCCTTATCGAGTGTGAGAAACTCATCTTTCCAGTTTTAAGCGATAAAGAAACAACTTCGAAGGGGAATTTCGTCTAAGTTAAGCTGCGATGAACATTTCACACGTGTGATTGTGTCATTGCTCTGTCGTGCAGGAACAGGCACATGATGTGCACTCGTAGCAAACAAGGGCCGTCCCCCATCACCGCGCACCCTGGCTTGGGAGGCACCAGGAGGCCCTTCTGCCCGAGGTCCACGCAGCCTGGTCTCTCCTCCGTCCAGGGCTGCCGCCCTCCCACAGGGCTTCCAGCAACGTCTGTGCGTGGATTCTTAGGACGGCCTGGCAAGGCCTACGGGGCCCTTCATGGAATAATGGTTTTTAATTAGTAAAATGCACAGGATTACAAAGGAAACCGTGAGAGAGGACTACAGCTATAGGAATTTTTTTTTTTAATTTGAAAGGCTCCTCTTTTATGAAGACCCTAATTTACGAACTAGTGGTTGGTCTATCAACTACCATACTGAGGTATTGATAAGCGTAGGGGAAGAGGACGGTGCCTGAAACCACTATCCCCAAAGGACGTGACCTGAGATTCTGCTGGTGGGCGGTCAGGGGTCCGGGCAACACAGCGGATGGACATGCTGAAGTGAGGGGCTAGTGCAGCTGAAGACAGCATTGCCCTGTCCACGTTTGCAACGCCTGAAGGGTGTCCATGGACTGCCTAAAGGCCCGTGGACCCGGCAGTAAGAAATCCCAGCGTGACCTTTTCAACCGCCAGACCACATGATGCGTCTTTGTGACGGACTCGGCCGTCACGGTAGCACCAGAGGGAGAATTCACGAAGCTCTCGCTTCCATTGGGCCATAAAACAAGAGCTGATAGCCTGTCCCAGGTCTGTGACAGTCTACCCATCTCGTGACAAGTGAAATCCTGGGTCCCTCCGTGAAGCTACCTCTCGGCATTCTTTCTACAGGGAACCTGAGAAAGAAAACGTGGACGGAAGGTGGCGGAGAGCCAGGGAATAACAGAAGCCTTGGGAAGGCCCTGAGCCACTCTCCTTGTTCCAAAAGCCCCGAGGACAGCAGAGTTACCTGGAAAAGAAGTTCCCGTGAAAGGATTTAGTGGGGTGTGGGGAGGGGGGAGTTTCCTGTGATTATGCTATCCACCTAAACTTTCTAGACGGAGACACGTAGCAGCCACGTAACGTACACTTTCCCTGTAAATGAGCCCTGATTTCAAAAGACAAGGTCATTTTCCCGTTGCTGGCAGCGCGTCTGCCAACCGGCAAGGCAAGCCGTGTGGCTGCCAGGGAGAGGGCCGGGGCGCTAGCTTCTTGATGTCGGAGCCCCGGCAGTCGGACGCTGCTCACCCCTGACCTTGGAGCTGCCAGCACCCGGCTCTGTTCCCTCCACATCTGCCTTCCAGGCACGGACTTCCAGATCCGCAGCGGTGGGGAAGGAAACTCGGCCGTGCCTTCTCTAAAGGCGAAGTGGGAGTGGAGAATAAAGAACCACAAGCTGTTTTTGCAACGTTTCCATGACCAGCACGGGATCTGTGGGTCGGAGCTGCGGGAGCGGCTGGCCCGGGCGCCCTGAGTCATGCCTGGAGAGGGCTATTTATAGAGCAGATGCTTTGTTGGTACGCTTGCCTGTTTCCTGGACCCGGGCCTTCCCCCACCTGCACGGTCAAAGTCGCTCATCAAGACGGCAGAATCACTTCTTCCTTTGCCACTTTCCCTGAAAAACACAAAGAGGAAAGGGCGATTACAAAAGACGTTTTGACTAAAGGATTCTTTCCTCTCCAACTAAAAACTTATCCAGACATTGTTTCCTTAATCCCCAGAAGGAAAGAAAATTCTGGAGTCCTTTTGCATAACTATTAGGGACAAAGTGCTCGGCTTCCACACCCTGTGGTCCCCGGGGCCCTGGGTTTCTCAAGCCCGCCTGGGGTGCTATGTGGGGGAACCTAACAGAGCCCAGCTCTGCAGCTGGGTGGGGCGCTGCCCTCCTCTGCTGTGCACACCGGGAGTTCAAAGAGACGCCTCTGCTGATACACAGGAGTTTGAAAGCCACAGGACTGCAGGGTCAAGGGAGCCCTTCGGGATCTCAGATGAACGCCGGGTCCCTCCCCGACCCTGTGTGGTGGCCCAGGGAAGTGAGCAACCTTCAGCTCCACCCCGCCACAGGCAGGTATCAGAATCCAGGTGAGACCGAGAGGCAGAAGGAGGCAAGAAAGAAATCCCAGTTCCTTCCCTAAAGAGCTGTGATCTTATTCTAGAAAGAGAGGAGGGGACAGCCCAGAAAGGAGGTGAGAAGGGGAGACAGCTGTGCAGCCGGTGAAACTGCCATGTGGATGGTGGCGCTGAGGACAAGGAGCAGACAGGCAGAGAGCAGGGCCAGGCAGCCACCCCAGGGGACACCTGTCTCGGGGACACCTGGAGTTACAAAGGGAACAAGGCTGAGGGGCACCCAAAAGCAAGGGCAACCACACAGCTGGGGACTGTGAGTCTGAATCACTACAGTGAGCGATGACTGAGACACTTCACATCTGAAGTGAAGACAGCATCTGCCAGGAAGACCTGGGAGAGCTGGTGCCGAGAGAAAGTCGGCTCTTCCGTGTATATCCAGTTAGGTAGCATGGTACATACGAAGCATAAGTATCAAAATCCAGAGGGAATTCTAATTTTAAAGGACACATGCACCCCAATGTTCACAGCAGCACTATTTACAACAGCCCAGACATGGAAACAACCTAAATGTCCATCGACAGATGACTGGATAAAGAAGCTGTGGTATATTTATACAATGGAATACTACTCTGCCATAAAAATGACAACATAATGCCATTTGCAGCAACAAGGATGGGGAAAGAAAGAGAAAGAAAAATACCATATATAACTCATATGTGGAGTCTAAAACTCACCCAAGACAAGATTCACCCTTCCACCCGGACACCCCAAAGGTCCATTCATCATGCAGTGTCCCAGAAGGATGGGCCAGCTCTCCCCTCCAGGGAATGAGCCTGACGGGGCTCCCCTCCCCTGCACGTTTGCTAGCAGGGAGGAGGCTCGCTGAGAGTGGGGAGGGGGCACCCAGGGAGGGGAGGAACAGCCAGCTTTGCCCTGGTCCCGGGCTGTCAGAACAAAGTCATAACTGCAGCCGAGGTGGCTTAGCGAACGTGTGTCTGTCCCCAAATTGCCTTTTTCATAAGGTGACCAACCAGTCATGGTGGAGTAGGGGCCGCCAGCTTAACTAGTTACAACTGATAGTAACAGTAACACTAAGCAGTTAATAACTATACTTCTAAATAAGGTCACATGCTGAGGCACGGGGGCTAGGTCTGCAACATCTGGACTTGGGGAAGGTGGGACCACAGGTCAGTTCGTCACAATGGGCACCTTTCACATGTACTGACAGTGGCACGACACTGTCAGTTTTCAGTAATAACGTGAATAGAACATCTCCTAAACAACCACATTGTCCCTTTGCTGGCGTTTGGGAAAATGAGCATATTTTGTACATTTATCTTGCTTCCAGCTACTCAGTGAAACTACATGAGTTTCACAGTGCGATCCACTCTCTTGGATTTTTTTTTTACATTCAGATAATTAAGTTGTGTCTCTCCCTTTTAAATATTTCTGTGTCATTTTTTTTCCTGTTTCTGCTGAGATCTTACAAATAGTGTTGACCACCTGTCTTTGTGGTAGCCAGACACTTATTTTTATTTCTCACCGTAATGGAAATGCTCCCTGCACATCATTAAATATGATACTTGCTATATGTCTATTTCATATGTGTTCTGTCCAGCTCTACTCCTGTGTGTGCGTCTACCTTTCTAGAATTAGAAAGCATTCTCTCTTTTTTTTAATCCCCTGAAAAAAATATGTTAAATAATGTGGAATTGGACCTTCCCTTTAAGGTTAAAACCCGAGTCTTAAAACCTGTGTGAGTACGATGCCCTTTATAGAAGTAAAACTTTGACTACGTTTTCCATGTATTCTGTAATTTTTGGTACATTCAGAATTCTTCTGATTCAGTTTAACTGACTGTGTTTTCCGAAAAAAAAAGCAGCAATCTATCTGGATTTCCAAACTTATTGATATGAAATCGATCTATGAACCTCTCATAGTTGAGCTCTCTCCTGCTCTGACGTACATGCTCTCTTTTTTTTTAATTTTATTTTATTGAGTTATAAGTCAGTTTACAGTGTTGTGTCAATTCCCAGTGTGGAGCACAGTTCCTCAGTCATACGCGAACATACATACATTCATTGCACATTCTTTTTCTCTGTGAGCTACCACAAGATCTTGTATGTATTTCCCCATGCTGTACGGTATAATCTTGTTTATCTAGTCTATACATATCTGTCAGTATCTACAAATCTCGAGCTCCCTGTCTGTCCCTTCCCACCCGCCTCCCCCCGGCAACCCCAAGTGTGTGTTCTATGTCTGTGAGCCTACGTGCTCTCTTCCTTACCTGACCTGATTTACAAGACATTTCTGTGCCTGTATAAGCAGTGGGGAGGGACCACAGGTCTCGGGTTCCGTGGATCTCACCTACTGGGTTTTTTTTTTCTCATTTATTTAATGTTTCAAAAATAACTAATGGGTGGGGGAGGGATAAATTGGGAATTTGGGATTAACAGATCCACACTACTGTATACAAAATAGATGAACAACAAGGACCTACTGTATAGCGCAGGGAACTGTATTCAATATCTTGTAATCATCTATAATGGAAAAGAATCTGAGAAAGAATACATACATGTGCGTGTGTGTGTGTGTATATATATAATTGAATCACTTTGCTGTACACCTGAAACACTGCAAATCAACTACGCTTCAATTAAATAAATACATATATATATTATCTTTAAGAGACTGCATTTGTGTTTCTTCCTTCTTTCTTTTGTTTAAGTTTGGGTTGCTGGCCTTTTTCTAGCTTCATGGTTAGTACTTGGTCCAAAGTCTCTCAATCCTATGTTTCTTACCATGATCACTGTAGTTTCTGCATTTCCCTCCAAGTGCCAGCTCTGCTCTGTGGTCCTGCCTTTCTGTTCATTTCTGAACACACTGCATTTAGCTTTGGTTTCCTCTCCAACACAGATTCTGTTCTCTAGGGGGAAGATTGTGGCAGGACTACAGCTACTATGGTTATTCTTCTCTTGCTTAAGTAAGTTTAAGCCAAGCCAAGACCGCAAGAAGAGGAGATCACGAGCACAGAGCCTCCGGGACGGGACCAGAGCTCAGCCGTGGTCTCGGGTGCCCACCAGCCCTGAGGTCGCCAGGCAGAGCCCAGCAGCCCCTACAGTGGCCCCCGCCCTCGGGCGTCTGTGGGGCTGTCACGGGGCGAGCAGGCTGGAAGCCCCAAACCAGAGCAGAGCGGGAGGGAGTGAGGGCCAAGTGTGGGGACAGCCACCTCCCGCTGACACAGCCTCTTCTCTCTGGGAGCGGCTGGTGAGGACTGAAGGGGAACCACGCCTGTTTTCTGGTCCCAGGAATGCCCCCTGGTCCTGATAGCATTGTCATCAGCTCTGAGTTATTCAGTGTTGTTTCAAGCTGCCCATCCTTTCCAGAGCACTGCCCCGAATCTGGTTTTCAGAGTATTCTACAAACGCATGCTATGTGAGCCTGATTTAGGAGCTAAACAGTGTTTTATGGGAAATGCAGGCAGACCCTGCTCTGCTGGTCTTTGCATCCTAACACCTCCTAAACTCCGCCGTTTATGACCCCCCCCCCATCCCTCTGGTTTATCATAGCGGTCGCCTGCAGTCTTCACTTCCGGTCTGGAAGGGGATGCTGGGGGTCTGTCCTGTGTCCTCATGCCCAGACTGCCCTGTAGGCCTGAGAGCCACCACGAGCATAGCCTTTGAGCCCAGATCCCCCACCCCTCGCCCCACCTCACCTGCCTCACCCCGTCTGTCCTGCAGGTCCAGCAGCCTCTCCAGTTTTCCACTCTGCTTGGTGTCTGTCGGCCCGGGTTGCTGGACAACTTGACACAGCTGTACCGCCAGACGAGCAGGCAACTATTTCCTATCTCTTTGCAGTAAGTTTGGCTTCTTTAAGCGCTCTGTTGGGCTGCTCTGTCGGAATTGCTCCGATCGCCGGGGCTGCCTGCAGACCCAGCAGGTCGTTAACAGGGGCTCAGAGCCACAGGCCCTGCCGCTGTGGCTACGTCCTCTGGGGCCGGAAATGCTGGAGCCGACCTGGCCACAGAAACCCGAGACTTCTGTTCTGCAGCAGGTGGGATGCCAGCTAGACTGTCAGGAAACTAGTTATGGGTGATTCATGGGCTGTATCTGGTGGCACCTGGACCTCTCACATGTGAGGACATCTGGCAGCTGCTGCAGCCGGTCTGTGCAGGTTGCTGCAGTGTGCCCTCTGAGGGAGGCCAGGCCACATGCTCCTCTAGTGCATCAGGAAGCTCACAGGGTGGGCCTCAGCCTGAACCCCACGAACAGCCAACCGCTGGGGGCCCAGGGTGCCCTGAGTCTTCCCAGGGCAAAAAGGGGCCACCACCACTGAACCAAAGCACACAAAAAATGCATCACATTTGCACCCCAATGTTCATAGCAGCGTTATTCATGATAGCCAAGAGGAGGAAGCAATCCAAGTATCCACTGATGGATGAATGGATAAACATAATTGGTACACACATTCAGTGGAATATTATTCAGCCTTTAAAAAGGAAGGAAATTCTGACACATACTACAACATGGATGAACCTTCAGGACATTTTACTAAGTGTTAAGCCAGTCACAAAAAGGATAAATTTATATGCAGCCCCTAGAAGAGTCAAATTCACAGAAAGAGAAAGTAGAATGGTGGGTGCCAGGGCCTGGGGAGAGGGGATACTGGGGAGCTGGTGTTTGATGGAAACAGGTACAGTTCAGGGAGATGAAAAAGTTCTGGAGATCTGTTTCACAACAACATGAATGTACTTAATGCTACTGAACCATGCGCTTAAAAGCAATTAAGACGGTAACATTTATGTGTTTCTTTACTGCAATTTCTAAAAAAGAAAAAAAAAAGCATTAGAAATTCATTGTAGATACATAAGATCGGCCTTCAACAGTGCTTGGGGTCCCCTGGGTCTTGGAAAGAAAACTACCCACTCCAAGAACCTCAGCTTGGTAAAAGTAGGCAATTCCGATAGAACTGGGGTTCAGCACCCCAGAACACACCTCAGCTGCTGTCCCTGAACTTCCCAGGGGTGGTGGTCCCCGAGCGCTGGCCAGTGGGGGCCGGGGACAGACACCGCCTGCCGGGCCGGGGGGCTCAGGCACTCGGCCCGGGCCTCTGCAGCCGCGCCCTCAGAGCTCCGTCCCGGCCCTGCCTCTCACGGGGCACGAAGATGAAAATGCTTGTAAGAAGTCGGAGACTTCTGACGTGGGGCCCCAGAGGCAGGCGAGACGCCGCCGCCGTCCCAGCGCAGGCATTTGCCCGGCAGCCTTGAGGGGCTGCCTCCCTCTCTCTAAGCAGACGGCCGCGGGCTGGCGGGGGTCTTCCCAGAAAGCGGGCAGGGCAGCCCCCATCGCCGTCCCCTGCGGTGGCGCCGCCTTCCTGAGGGTGGCCAGGAAAACCCGGGCCGCGGGGGGCACGGGCAGCGTCCGCTTTCTGTCTTGCTTCTGGGGAGGGGCCCTGGAGACACGCAGACCTGGGTTCCAATCTCAGACCCAGGACTTTCCTAATCTATTTTTAAAACTATTTTTTAAGCTTTCTACTAATTTTTTAATTTTTATTTATTTTATTTTATTTTTTATCTATTTCTGGATAACAAACCACCCCAAACCATAGTGTCCTAAGCAACCACCAGATTTATTTTCTGCTTGCAAATCTGCAGCTCGGGCGGCGCGCAGCAGGGAGCGCCGGGGTGGCCTGCAGGCTGCAAGCACCTGAGGGGCCCGCCAGCGGCTCGGTGAGCCGTGGACACTGGCTGCCGGGTGGGGCCGCTGGAGCTGCGGCCTCTCCTGCGGGGGCTGGGCTTCCTCCCGACATGGCAGCTGGGACCCAAGACCGGGGTCTGGAGAGAGAGTCAGGCGGGGGCTGTGCGGGCTTTTCTGATCCAGCCTCAAGCCACACGCATCCTCTTCCCGCCGAATGTGAAGTCAGCCCACGTTCAGGAGGAGTTTGAATCCACCTCTGGATGGCAAGGGAGTCCCGGAGTTTGCAGACAGGTTTCAAAACCACTGCTCCTGGAGGATTACGCATTGCCGGCTGTGGTCTGGTCTCTGGGTGCCTCACGGCACCTGCTGTGAGGATTATCCGGTCAGTGTAGGTGGATCAGCTAGCATCATGCTTTTCCATTAAAAAACTGTTATTTTTTCCAGGTTTATTATGTAGAATTATTACAGTCTGACGGCACACACACATTATACTGCATGTAAATACATAGAGACAGTACCCTGCACATTTTTTAGTTTTCATATATCTACTAATTATTGTTTCTAGGAACCAGTTATGTCTTTAGCTTTTTAAACTGACACAGTTATCAAAGGAATAAAGCCAACCACAAAATAAGAATCAATAGAAGGCGGAAACGCCATATGACATCGTTTATTTGAAGAATCTAAAAATTAATACTAATAATGACACAAATGAACTAGTTGTTTTTTTAGTTCTTGAGTGTGTGTAAGTGCACCTGACCGTCCCGTGTGATTGGATGACCACCTTCTGGCGAACCTTTGGTACAAATCATACAACTCCACAGATAAAGGGGTTGGTTGATGATGTTGTCATTTCACGAAGCAGAGCACAGTGAGCTTCTGAGAGTTCTTAAGTACACTGGGCTAATTAGGGGAAAGGATGAAACTAGAAAATTGCCTCTTACCCCCGTTCAGAGAGTTCCCTGCACTTCTCCGAAGGCAGACAGAAAGGCTTTTGTTGTTTCTATTGAGAGAACCATTGCCAAGGATCCCAGAGAAGAGTGGAAGGGGAGGAGGAGGGCTGGGAGCTGGAGGAGGGAGGGTCCTGATGCCACGGCTGGGGGAGGGGGGAGGCGGGGAGGGAGTCCGCTGGAAGGTATCAGGAAATGCAGATGGAGCAAATGAAAGTGCTCAGGAATCAACTTTTTGCAACCTAGCGTGTTTTGTTAATGATTTGCGTAGCAGACAATGTCCCGGTGCCCATGAGAATCTGGGGAGGGCCAGACAGTGAGACAGAACCCTTCCTTGACTGGCCAGGAATCTAAGACGGAAGCAGCATCCGGCCTGGGCACCTCAGCTCAGGCCCCGCCGGCTCTGTCTGCCGGCCCTGGTCCCACAGCACCCATCATTCCTTCTCACAGGCCAGCGGGAGAGTTTTCCTGGGGACCAGAAAGAGCAGGCTTCCTGCCTGCTAGGATCTGCGGGCCCGCAGCATCGATGGCCCTGTACCTGGAGACAGCACAGAACCAGCTCCAGACACACCAGATGGGAAATTCCCGCCCGGGGCTCCCCGGGACGCCCACCTTCAGAGGGGGTGCAGATTTGCCGCCTCTGGGTGGGGAGGAGGACATGGAAGGTTGGGTTTTCCTGGTGGTGGCACCAGCCGGTGGCTCATCCCCTGTGCCCTGCGTCCTGTGTCCCCTTAGGGCACCTCTCCTCTTGTCATCCACCACCCAGTCACCATGGCTGATGGCCAGCCTTGGAGGGGAGCCAGCCACCTGCCACGGAGTGCAGCGAGCCTGGCCGGACGGTGATCAAGTCCTTTCTGACTTTCCTGTGTGAGAAGTCTCGCGTGTCCGCAGAAGCCCTCCCCATGGCATCTCCTGGGCCATTTCCGTGAGTCCGGGTCTCCAGCCCCGCCCCCCTTAGACAGTGCCTGTTCCCTATGGAGGAACAGTAGTAAGTTAGTGACCCCTCTCTGGGTGGGTGTAAGCCGTCTGATGGGCTAGTGAGGAAGAGCGTGTTCGCACAGAGGGTCTTACACTGTCCTATCCCAGGTGCTCCTCTTGCTGTGATCTCACCACCCGCCCATCCAGCAGGGAGCCCTCGTCCAGCCCCCAGCCCCGGGCAGACCTCCAGGCCGGCCTCCGTCCATGGGGCTCAGCAGACGTGGCCGTATGTGCCTTCTGAAGCTTTCTCCTGGCTCACCCTCAGTCCCTTGCTCTGAGGAGCCAGCCGTCTTGTGTGAGGAAGTGCAGGACGCAGAGGGAGCCTGGAAGGGACTCCTGGTCCATGACCATGGTCCAGGGCCTGGCTCAACCAGCACCAACCTGCTGGCCAGGGGGTGTGCCGCCTTGGATGTGAAGCCCCCCAGCTGCTGCTGAAGGCCCAGGGCAAGCTCCTCTCCCCAAAGGAACGGGGGCCAAAGGAACAAAGGGTTCCTGCCTCAGGAACTCCAGGGAAGGGGCGCAGAGGGGCCTCCTCGTGGCTTGGTCCCTGTGCTAGGCAGCTTCCGGAATGGCTCCCAGCAGTTCCTACAGCCTAAGAGCCCTCCCCCTCCCTCTGTGTGTGTGTATGCACGTGCGCACGTGTGTCAATGCGCTATGTGTGTACACGCGTGTCCGTGTGGTGTGTGCAAGCATGTGTGTAGGTGGGTGTCTACCTGTGGGTGCATATGTGTCTATGTATTGCTGTGTGCATGTGCCTGTGTGCGTGTGTGCATGTGCCTGTGTGCGTGTGTGCATGAAGGTGTGTGTGCCAGCTGGACCTAGCGATCTACTTCCATATCTAGAGAATGGAAAGGACAAAGGTGACAGGATGCCACTCCCAAGTCTAACCCCCCAAGATCTCTGACTCCGGCCTTGCCCTCTCCTTTCTCCGGGCACAGTCGTGTGCCATTGCACGTATGCATCATCTCGTCTTTATCCGACCCCTTAAGCTGTTTCCACATCTTGGCTGTTGTGAATGGCGCTGTAATAAACATGACAGTGCATGTGTCTCTTCAACATCCTGTATCAGTTTTCTCTCGGGAGAATTACGGATCACATGAAAGATCTGTTTTTAATCTTTCATGGAACCTCCATGTTGTTTTAGTGAAGCTGATTCAAGATGAAGATCCAAGGCCAACCCAGACCTAGCCAGCCGGAACTTCCAGGACGGGGCCCAGGTGATTCGTGTGCATGTTCATGCTTGAGAACAATGCAACCGGGCAATGACTTCAGAGTCCCCCATAGCTCCCTAAGGAGTGGCATTAACATGACACCTCTGGTCCATGCCTGTGCCCTTCTCGTACCCCCAACCACCACCACCATGGCTGCAGATCTGGGGGCCCCCTGCAAGGGGCCACTGGCAGAGAGGGGTCACCCCGCCTGCACAGTGCCCCCTTGACCAGACTGAATCTGTAGCTCCAGCTCCCCAGCAGGACTGTGGAGGTTACTGTTGGTTGAGAGCAAGGGGAGCTGGGTCTTTGAGAGACAAGAGACAGAGAATCCTCTCCCTCCCCTGACCCCATGGCCACAAACTGCTCTGAAAGCCCCTGCTGTTGGTCCTTAGGAGGGAGCAGGCAGCCAGGCTCATGGTGAAGCTGTGGCCAGAGGGGCCAGTCCCCCAGTGTCTGCTCCCCATCCTGGCGGCCCTGCCCCTCCCCTCATCCTTCTTCCCCACTTGCACTCCCAGCAAAGTGCTACCCAGGAGCTTTGGCCTCGGGCTGTGTTTTCAAGATTAAGCTAGCACCCTAAAAAAGACCAGATGAGGTCTGGGGCCAGACCAGGCCCACAGACTGGGGCAGCAATCTCCATGGGGGCTGAGGGGAGAAAGGCTGTTGAAGGGCCGCCAGAAACGACCCCAGCAAGAGCCGGCACCCTCTGTCCCCTCGATGTGGCTGGCGCATCTTTCTACGTGCACAGTCTTCAAGCAGCAGGCAAACGTGGAGGGCTGCCCGTAGGGGGACTCCCAGAGAGAGAGCCCCAGTGGCCAGGGGCCGAGGAGCAGGGAGGCACATCCGGGGAGCCCTCCCTGCCTGC